ATCAACCAACCCTGCTGCTGTCCCATGTGCATGACCTGCAGCTGGACTTTGGTCAAATTAAACTGAAAGTGGCCTATGTTTTTTAAATTTTCATTATTTTTAAAACTACTGGGTTTTTGTGCGTTTTATTTCTTATCAGTAATTTTAATAGGACTCATTTGCACAAACACAGGTAGCATTCAAATTGACCAACACAGATTAATATCTACTCCGTTTTAAATTAGGCCTATGCAAGATAATTGTTTTTTTTCCCCAATTTGAGAATTGTTCCATAAAAAAGGAAATAGCATTTTTCTTATTTTTAGTGTTTAATTTCATTTTCAAGAAAAACATGGTATTATTTAAAGGAATATCCAAACAGTCATAAGTAGCACAGCGTAGGCATAAGTGATTATAGATTTGAATGTTTACACCACTTATAATATTGATAGTCTGATTTAGACTTAACAGGCTGGATCACCTTTATTATAAGACTAATATATTCTGTGGCTCCATACCATACATATACACCATACATGGCACATCTGTGTTTAAGCTACAGGCTAACAATGCCTAAATTACATCTCTGTGTGGATTCCTCTCATAATACATGTATGCATTGTATGTAGGTTCCATATTACATGCTAGAGTCCAACAGTATATTTGCCAATATGTCAGTGTTGGTATTTTTTAAAGTAAAATAATTTAATAAAAAGTGAAAAAGCTGTGGGAGAAACACCCTTCAGCCATGTTACCAGTGTTGTTGTTGCATATTTTATCCACCAGGGGGCACCCTGCAGCTTTTGCAAACACACCAACCAGCTGATCTGAGTAGAGCCAGATGTCAACGAGTCACTTGTTGTGAAGGTGAAACGACCTTATTATGAAAAGGCATTGTCTTATTAGCTCAGTAAGGACTCATGCTGGGGAAAACTCAATGTTTTCTGTGTCTGCTTCTTCTTCTCCTTTTTCCGGCTCCTTGCAGGGGTCTCCACAGCAGATCATCTGCATCCATCTTACCCTATCTGTAGCAGACGTCTCCTTTACATTAAAACATTTTTAATGTACCAAAAAGTACCAGCTGATATATTGGATTTTTAAATGACAACTTATTTTTCTCAATATTAGGCTTTAAAAAATATATCAGTCGGCCTAAACCACATGCATCGTTTAATGGGATGTGTTGCACTTAACAGTAATGACAAACTCTACTGTCATGCTAGTTTCTTCATTTTGTGAGCTTTTGACTGCACATCTAATATTAAATTCTACATTCTTCTGTCTATAAGACTAACGTGATTAACTAGGTCCAAATGCTTGAAAGCAAACAAGCTCTTGGAGAAGATGTTGCCAAGTTAGGTGTAAAGTGTAAAAGTGATTTCAAAATATATTCACACTATTTACAGACACTTATGATGATGTGTTAGCTTCATGGTTTCTCACGGAAGACCTTTCAGTTTCTGACAGGAAGAAGCTGTGTGGCTCAGCTTATGAACAGTGGCAAGAGTAAAGGCGCTGTTTCTTTTAGTAAAAACAGAACCACATTAACAAACAAAACAAAAAAACAAGCAAAAAAAAAAAACCCATCATATTCCAGAAGTTTTAGAAATTAATAATACACTACGTAGCTAGCTAGTAAGTTGACGTCTGTGTTCTGGTTCTTGGTTTATCTCCAAAACAAAAAACAAGCCATTGCAGAAGTGACTTAAACCTGCCTTCTTTCCAGCTGAGGTTTTGCAGTGGCATGACCACCAACCACATGACGTTAACTTGAGACTTAATGACAATGCAGGGCCAAGTGAATAAGGCATCAGTCACAGTCTTTAACCATCTGGGAACCAAGGGTCACAGGGTGAGGGTTAAAAGTACCAGCTGAGAGTCAGTGAGCGATAAGAGATGTGCAGGAACAATGGGCTCAAAATAATCAGTGAAATGTGTTTGTATGTATGTGTGGAGGCATGGTACATGAGGTACACTGTCAGTTTATATTGTTATATTAAGCACACCTAAATGAAGGAAAATGCGATCAGACTTTTGGTTGCAGTCTTCTTTACAGCTCATCTGGACTTTGGCTGGGTCAAAGTTGGTATGAGGTTTTCCAGACGTCTTGTTCAGATGCAGTTTTGGAAAACCTAATCCGTGCTGCCGTGTTCTTTTAATGCGAAAGAGGCTTCCTCCTGGCAGCTTTTCCAAACACAGCATAAGTATTCAGACTTTTTAAGTGTAGTGTTGTGACCTTTAACATTTAACATGCTAACTGAGGCCTGTAGAGTCTGAGATGTAGCTCCTGGGTTTTTTGCAGTTTCTCTGTCTGGGTCTGAGGCTTGAGTGAATTTTCTTAGGAAGATTATAGCATTGCTCCAGAACAGAAAACTGTCAAAACTAATGCTTTTATTGAGGTGCTCACAGTTGATGATGGTCAGTTATTCAAGTGCATTAGATAAGAAACACATGGCTGTTGCTTACGCTCTTAATTCTTATGGATGCAATAAGGATATACTTAGTTTTCCCAGAACTGCATGTGATAATGTGATTATAACAGTAATACTCTGCATTTGCAAATGTATCTCAAGTGAGTGCCTGTAAAATTTATATGTATACATAAAGCATGTAGATATTTATTTGCCTTTGCATATATGTGTATGACTTGATATACTACATTTGATTCTTCTCTTCTCTTTTTTTTTATTTACAACCTTCCTGTTCTATGGAACAGTGCAAGAGAAAATGTGCTCACAGTCTGAGGTGTATCTTTTCAGATAAAAAGTTTGTGGTTCAGACAGAGTTGTGCATTCTTGCATGCAGCCGCTGCTTGAACACAGATTGAACAGTGGCTGTGTGAGCTTGTAAAGCGGTCAGCCTGCATGAGGGTCAGCCTCAGTGGTTTTGAGGCTGAGGGCTAACGACCAAATGGGGAAGATGCAGACGTGAGAAAGGCAGAGATGGCGAGTACCAAGATTGTAAAGTTGTATTTTCCAAACATGGAGGCATTTGAGTGAAGGTCACAGGCTGATTTAACATTTCTAATCATTATGAAGAAAATGTGTTTTTGCTCACTCTGAAAAGATTGTTGTCTTTAAGCTGTTTAAGTACAATGGCATATTAGGGCCACTGAAGAGAAAAGTGGCAAATTTGCCAGGAATAACTCAGAAAATATAATTATTTCATCAAGGCAACTCATCGCTTTGCACATCTCTTTGGTGTGCACTATGCCAACATTAGATGACCTAATTACATGAGGCTTTTCAACTGGATTTAGTAACAAAGAAATACTTGTGATTTTAGCTGTGAATCACCCACTTTATCATGAACTGGGTCTATTCAGAAGAAAGCAACACACTGATTTGGATGAGGTCATAGTGTTTGTGTACCAAGAACTACAGCACAATGCGGCATTTGGCACTTTAAAGGTAAAAATCTTGTGTGTGTCCCCCCTCCCCCCCCCCTCCCCCCCTTTAGTGGCCCTGATAAGCCGTCATAAGGAAGTGACATATGGAGAGAGAAAAAAGAAATGACAGGAAAGGACACGTTCACGATTGCACGTCTTCCTGCTCGTGCCTCACAAACAGCACCGCACAGACAACATCCTGTATGCACAGAATAAAGGGGGCAGTGCACCCGAGCGCTTGTGGAGTGCTGTGTGACATCATTTGTGTGCAATGACGTTTGTAATTACAGATAATGACGCATAATGTTATAGACAGCGTTAGTATTTAATTTTTCTCTGCCACCTCATATTAGTCACATTTACTCTATTCACGTCTTTATTTTTAAATGGCAAACATAAACATGTCTGAATGATTACAGTACACTTTCAGTCTCTTCATGTAGGTATTACCTACAGAGTAATACCATTTTATTTGAATATTTGTTGGTCTGCAAGACCCACTGAGGTTTAGTGATTGTGCACATGCCTATTGCAGCCAATTGTTCGCAAACCAAACCATGAACTGTGCAGCTAATTACCCGAAGCAAAGCTTTTCAGTCAGAGACATAAACGTCAGTTTGCTATTTTACGAGATCTTATCTCCCTTCCTGGAGTCTCAGTTGCCCGACAGCTGCTCCCAGCCAACAAGCGTCGCAGCACGTAACAAATAACCACGCCCACAAGGCCACAGCGTGGAGTTTCTACACTTTATTTTTTGTACAAACAAGATAAAAATGTGTTCATTAGTGAGCTTTATAGATGCTTGTGGGAGCAATTTGTTATTGTTCAGCAAACAGTTTTCCACTCATTTGTAGGTTTTGCATGCTGGTTGTTGCATCATATCTGACATACAAATGCTTGAGTGGTATCACACTTCTTATCTACCTGTCATGAGCAAACCATACAGACCGCATACATATGATGCTCGTAGCTACCATCATGGGCATTTTAAAGCTTTAAGCCTGGTTCTTTTAGTCGTCATGGTTTATTTAAAACCGATCATCATGCTAACATAAAGGGGTACACAGCAATAAAAGACTACTGCAGACTTGTTGACCAGTGGGGATTAATAATATTTAGTGCAAAAGCTGAAGTGGCTCCCCGTGAAAATGAGTTACTGCCTTTAAGCTGCATTGTTTTTACTGGCTCTTATACAGAGACATTATAAAAATGCTTTGAAACCAGATGTGATGAGAGAGGGGCGGTGGGACTGGGAAACGTGCTTACCAATTAGCTAATGACTTCACAGTTCATGAGCCAAGGAGCATATCTAGATAATCTGGAACATAGTATGACCATGATTTACCAAATGGACCTAAATTTTGGTCCAGCGCGACCCAAAATGTGCAACTGAACCCACAAACTCATGAGGAAAATGCTTACAAAGGTCAGGGCAGGACTGTTTTCCCCCACAGACTTCCATAGGACCAGAAGTGTTCTTCAACCACAGCTATTGCTCCCAGGTGGCCGTTGAAAAGAATGCAGAAGGCACCTTTAAGAACCAGAAGCTACAGTATGTCCATCTTTTGTATAGAACATATTGTACAGATGTCTGTAGGGGAACAACCTACTGCCCCCTCGCTGTGTGACCTGTGTAAGCATGAACTCTAGTTTATAGAAACTTTGTTGATATTAAATGGAAAATGTGGTCAGTTTTGTAAGTTATGGTATTTGGATAACAACTTATCAATCTCAAGCCAGGTTGGTTGCATCCATCTTTTATTGACTGGCTTTTTAAGCCAGCCTCCTCAAGGATTCATTGTTTTTGGCATCCGACTTTGGCTTCGGGTGCTGCTTGGTCTAAGTGCTATGCTAAGCTAGCAGGCTAATTTGTATTTTATGCATAGATGTAAGTCTGGCAGTGAACACGTCTATTCATTTTAATTTACTAAGACCTTTTTAAACTATTAGGAATTATAAAAGGAGGCTTTGTAATTTCTGTCATTATTATTATTATTCAATAAAGAGCCATGTCAGAAAAAAGTCAAAGAAGGTAAACGTACTAGCTGGATATAGTGGATTACTAATTTTCCCAAGGGGCCACATGAGAACTGGAGGGCCTCAGCAATAAGCTGAACTCCTTTTTTGCTCAATATTCATTTTTTGTCTTTTAGCTTATTGGTCTCGCTCCCCTAAAATTAAGGCATATTGTAATAGCCTTGAAAAGTAAACTGCAAACTCTCTCTACAGATGTATTGTACTAAGTCAGGTTCTGCGTTTAAGGTCATTTAAGTGTTCCAGAGCTCCCCTCTGTCTGTGGTGTAAAATTAAAACTTGGATTGCTTTTAAAAGTCTGTTTTGTGACTTCAAACACGCCCTTCCTGATTAGTAGCTTCAAGCCTGCAGGCCCAGGGCAAATAATTAACCTCCAATTCTGCAATTATCCCAGCAGGCAAAAGAAGCATTGAAAGACAGAGTGGACCTGAGCTGGAAGTGCGTCATGCTTAATTTTCGAATGCGCCGACTGTTTTTAGTCGCCAGTCACACACTGGCAGCAATCTGCAGCACTTTGGATAACCTGTTGATTCTGAAAATGGTTTCATTTTCTCTTTACGTCAAAAACCAGCCGGATCTAAACAACCATCTTTCCAAACTAAATAGACCCACATCGGCATGCAGTAGTGTTATGTTAGAGTGGGTAAAGAAACTCAGCAGGGCTTTAAAGATTGAAGAGATTTAAAACAAGGAAATGGAAGTGTGAAAGCCCGTCTGTCTGTGTGCCTCTGGCACTATAACTTACTAAAGTCAAAGTATGTGGTTTTATTCCTTATGCTTGATGATAAGAAGTTTAAATTATGTGTCTTTTACCATGAAAAACCACTTTCCATGTCATTTTAACCTACAAAATATTGTTAAAAGCTGCTTTAGAAGGCTTTTCTACACTCAGGGGGTCACTTAATCCAGTTGGAGTTTCTGGAAATCAACGTGTAAGCACATGGATACAGCCTGGTGTTAATGACAGAAAGAGACCAGCGTCATCATGGGATACTGCCTCTGCCTGCTGGTGATGACAGATCAGGCGAGGCTGTGATGTGCAGAGGACAGTCAGGGAGAGTGTGACAGTGGTTTTCCATCTGCTCTGATATTGGTTGTGCAATGACTAGCTTGGCTCTTTAGAGTGATGGTGTTAATGGTCATTTTGATGTGAGGGTCACCTTGTTAGTTTAAAAACGAAGTCTTTTACAAGACAGGAAATAATGGTGCAGTGACATGACAGATACATCACAGTGTGTTGCTTTTTAAATGTGATGTGCTCCTTGACAACGACAGGTGAGAATGAAGGAAGGAAGCAGCAGACTTTCAGCACATTTCTCTTTGACCAGACTCGCTGCTGGAAAAAACACGGCTGAGAAAAATAAAAGCTTTGCAGAAAAAAAAAGTCAACAATAAGTAGAAAGTTTAAATACGGCATGTTCCTTTATCCACTTTTGCATCTTTTTGTTTTAAATCAGCATTCAGACATGACTTTCATGTCATTTCCTTCTTATTTGGGTCTTTTTGCACTTTTATCTATGTACAATAAAAGCTTTCAAAACAAAAATAAAAATTAAATACAATAAAAACAATTTTAAAAAGCTGCCATTTGGTCTCAGCTTTAATTGTTGTCAAGATAGTTTATTAAATCCAAGGCAGGGCATTAAGTTACACCTTGTTACACCTTGAATTATTGACATTACTGGCTGAAGGTCAGAAGGATGACGCTCCTACAATCTGTGTGTGTCCAGGAGGAACTGAGAGAGCTGCACAGCTGGTCTACCTGTGCCAATACTCCCTCCCTGTGGTTTAGTGAGTCATTACACTTCAACGCAGAGCAGTGAGTAAAATTAGGTTTATGCACAGAAGTGAGAGAAATGCTCAATTAAAAAAAAAAGCACATGCCAGTATTTATGCATGTCTTCTATTTAAATTGACTATAGACAAAAATGAAATCTAGTGTCAGATTAAGCAGTAGAATAGAAACATCCTCAAACATGTTTTGGAGCACAAGAAGGACTTTAAAAAATGAGAAAATGAATAAAACAAAATCTGACATTGTCCCTTTTCTACTTTGTTCTAAGACATTTGAACTAATGTTTGAGCAGCAAATGAAAAAAATAATTAATAAAATAAGTGTAACTTCTCTACTTTATCATTACATGCTAATAGCACTGTATAAACAGCGGAAAAGGCCTCCAAGTATCTCTGCAGAAGAAGCCGATACCTTTGTCGTTTTACTGCATGATGCCTACATTTCCCACAGTGCAACTTGACAAGCAGATAATCAGGTGTCCTCACAGTATTTAATGTAAGCTTGAAATGCAAGCCCTTACCCTCAATAACAACGCCACAAGTGACAATTTAGCCAAAACAAAAAAAAGTTTGAAACGTTAAACTGAGGTTGTTTCCTCCTTTAAACGAAGTAAAATGTAGAAAGCAGCAACACCAGATCACAAACCCTGTTTTATGAGCTGTGCCGTAAACTTAGTTAAAGAGAAAAGTTGGACAACCTTGAAGCTCTGTTCACTTTAATTACACTGCAAAAGCATTTTTTGTGCAACAAGCTTATAACTAAGCTTAACAAGTAAGTAAGTAAAACAGTGAGCTGAATTTATCATCACTTTCTGTTTGCAGGTACCTGGTTTGAAGGTTTCTAGGTACCTGCTAGCTAAGAGGAAATACAGCAAATTAATAAAAACATGTCACAGAAAAGCAAAACAAACCAGAATCTGTAAGGCCGCACACTTTCCGTATGGCTCAAGTCTTTAATAGTAGGAGTAAAATGCAAAGAATATAAACACTGAACTATTCTGTAAGAAATGAGACTGTAGGCCTGCTTTCCACCATTCAAAGATTAAATGTAGATATCAGACCTAAGCCAGTCGCTGCATTAGTGATGGTGAAGAGAACAAATTCATTTTGCACAAGTCGGAGAAAAGAGTCAAAAAGCTCCAGAAAGATGATGGTAAAGTCCCTCATACAGAATTAAAAGCTGCAAGGTGAATACACTCAGATTACTTGTAACAACACTGAAAGGATTAACGTTAAAAAAAGATAATGTTATTTTCTATTTTGCTTCAACTGTCAACAAATCCCAAAAAACAACAACAACAACAACAACAGCTATAAATATAATTACAACTTCTCTGTCCTCTCTGCTACTGTATGTCTTATAATTTCGGTGACACTGTAGGTGATTGTTTGCTGTGTCTCAGTGAGAAGAGAGTAAAATCCACGTTAAACAGGACACAGTCACTGGGTTACACTGCCTGACTTTGATGGTTGCAGTCCTGCCCCTCGTGTGTGGTGATGTAGGAGAGAAGGTCAATCGATGTCACGACGGCAAATAAAATCTGCCTCTGGAGGGCCGACCCATCGACCCCGTCTGCACAGAGGCACAAAACTGCTGATGGACACAGATCTGCTAATCTCATAAACACGTATTTTATTTACAATATAGAAAATATATCAGATCTTTAAACTGAGACACACCGTTACAATAATAATACAATGTTTAAAGCGTTAAATGTTGACTTTGATGGCAGCATCACGAAGGAAAACAACAAAGGAAAGCCAGAACTGCAGTTAAAAGAAGAGGGGATGTTACACAGTGTCGAACACGGCCGTGTCCCAACTTCATTCAGACATCAAATTTAAAATCAGTTCTATTGTGAATAAAATATCAGCTTTTTTTAGGGGGGGGCTAATAATTCACTTATTTAACAGTTGATTAATCCAGCCTCTGGGTCTCTTTTGTGTGACTGTGATTCAGCATCTTTGGTTTTGGTCCATTAGTCAGTCAAAAAAGTGGAGCCCTCGCAGCTTTGTGAATGACATTTATCAACCATGCAATAAACAGCTGATTATAAAAGTGATCTGCACATAAATGTTCTGCATAAACACTATTTAGGAAATGGATTTTCTCACATTGCGTTTGATTGTGAACCACCAGGGCAAAGTTATCAGTTTTGAGGATATGGGAAAGCTTCCCCAGGTCGTCTGTCAGGTGCACCTGAAAGCACAAGTGGAGGAAGATTAAACAAGCGTGTAAAAACGTTCATTATGTCATCAAAGGTCGCCATGAAGAGCTCTGCACTCTCTGACTGACCTGTTTGAAGGCTTTGAGGAGCACCGCGCTAACAGCCGCTGAAAGTTCAACCTTCCCCGCCAACAGAGAGGACAGAATGGTTTCCAGAGTCACTATTCCCAGGATGGCCCTGTGGAAATACACAAAACCCACAAACTCCCATCAGACTCCGGTGATGAGAAGACTAACCTATCATGTCTCTGCCTGCTTATTTCAACCAAATGTCAAGATTAAAAAATGGGTAACCAAACTGGACGATTAATCAATGTAGTTTTTAACTAGAGTTTATCTTGAGACGAGATCCAACTTATATGGTTACACACTCAAATACAGCTAACCTCACATGGGGATTTACACTGGAGGGACAGGGTTGTAATGTATGTGTATATACCCACCAGACGTCCAGCTGCCCACACACATCTTTAAACTACAACACACATCTTAGCAAGCTGAATCAATTGACCAGAGGCAATGAGTAGTTAAGTCCACTAGAGGGCAGTCATCCTGGCACAAGTCAAGGACAGGACCCCAGGCAACCAAGAACTGCCAAGTACCAACATTCACAGGAAGGCAGGAACGTGTCCCATCTCCCACAGGGACCAAGGCTCAGGAAGCCTCAGGCCTGGCATTTATAATACTAACCTGATGTAGAGAAGAATAGACATACCCTGACTCAGTGACGACTGGTGCCTGATCCAGTGAGTTCTCCTTTAGGATCTCAATGGTTTCCTGGCAGGACACAGAATGTGTGACAGTGAGGGGGGCAGACAGGTGTAGACTCTGAACAGTCCGGTTCCACCACCTGCAAGACGGAAAAACAGAGGTTTTAACACCAACCTGCTCCGTCATACCTCCTCTGAGGGGTATAAGCTATAGCTGATTCGGGGTGTTTTGTTATTATGGTGTTTTTTACCAGGGTTTTGGGTCCATTTGAGCGTCCAAGCAGAGGAAGCCTTTCTCACACATCCACTGATCCGTCAGGAACTTTGACCTGCAGGTAAAAATCGGTGAGTTTGAAGAAGTGTGCTGAGGTTTGGTCAGACTTCCACCTAAAACATGTCTGACTCTAGAAAATCTGTTTTGTAATGGTTGCAGCATTTCAGTTATGGACAGGAAAGACACGTGGCTGTAAAAAATAAAAATGAAAAAACATAACAGCTGAAAGCCATCTCTCATTTTCTCTCACCTTTGTCTTGTAGAAAAAAATCCACATAAAAAAGAAAGTGTGTTTGTGTACTGATGTCTAACTGCAGAGGTTACTGATTTTTCTTTAGCATGTTTAAAAGCGGCAACATCGGTTGAAATGTTTTATAAGTTAGCTTAACAATTATCGGCTCGTGTACTGTTAAATTTGGTGCACACATTCATGCCTTAGGCCCTTATTTTAAATCCAGCACCATGAGATTGAGGCCAAAGTTTTGTCAAAAACATTTTGTTAAATCCTCAAATACCATAAAAAAAATTGGCATTCCCATCAGCCTCTGCTGTATTTTGCTTTTTTCATTATGTCAGTCCTTACAGATTACTGTGGACTTCAGGAAGCACACAGCCCCACTCCCCCCCATCATCCTGACTGACACCCCCATCACCTCTGTGGACTCATTCCGCTTCCTGGGTACCACCATCACCCAGGACCTGAAGTGGGAGCCCACCATCACCTCCGTCATCAAGAAAGCCCAGCAGAGGATGTACTTCCTGAGGCAGCTGAAGAAATTCAACCTGCCAACACGGACGATGATGCAGTTCTACACTGCAATCATCGAGTCCATCCTCACCTCCTCCATCACCGTGTGGTACGCTGGAGCCACTATCAGGGACAAACAGAGACTGCAGCGTGTTGTGCGCTCTGCTGAGAAGGTGATTGGCTGCAGACTCCCATCTCTGCAGGACCTGTACACCTCCAGGACACTGCGGCGTGCAGCCTCGGATCTCAGCTGACCCTTCTCACCCTGGACACAGTCTGTTTGACCTGCTCCCCTCAGGCAGGAGGCTCCGGTCCATTCGCACCAGAACCTCTCGCCATAAGAACAGTTTCTTCCCCTCTGCTGTTGGACACATGAACAATAACCATATGACTGTCCCCGCCACTAACACATGACCCTACGCTGTGTCACTGCATCATTCCATGTTTGGCACTGATCACCACCTGCACTCATGTATATATCTTTCTACGTAGCACTCTTAATTCTTATTCTCATGTATATATCTCATGTATATCTCATGCACATATCTTTCTACGTAGCACTTTTAATTCTTATCCCTACTTTTATTTTTTCATGTCTATTTAAGTGCTATTTATGACACTATGTTTGCACTGAAGCACCGCAGCAATTTCCTAATGTTGTAAACCTGCTCAACATTTGGCAATAAACCCCTTTCTGATTCTGATTCTGATTCTTAAAGCAAATAGAAAAACTGGAATTAAAGTCTTTGGACTTTGGAAACTTCAATATTTTATTGGCGCCGACTTTATAAAGACACATCGTGTAACATTTACAGTTACATGTGTCTCTTCCTCTCTCATTTCCTGTCACTGCTGTTCTGTCCTTAATAATGGGAAAAACATCCACACAAAGGGTTTCAGTGCTTTTATGTTAAATTCTTGTCTAGCTAATGGCTGGTGGGAGCCACATGGTTACTGCTTTTAGCGAGACATAGCTCAGAGGAGGAGAGTCCAACTCTTTGAAACCATGAAGATCTCTAAACTGTTCAGTGGACTGATTCATTTCTACACACATTTACACATTTTTGAGGACAGAGCTAAAAACTGTTGGATGGTCTGTGGTTAAATTTGGTACATATGTTCATCCGCTGGCTTTTAAAGATTTCATTAAAATGTTCTTTTTAAATGGGGAAAGATTATAAAGCATGCATCTTTAATCATCTAAAAAAAAACAAGAATGGAAGCAGAAATTTTAATACATTTTCTCTCTAATCCACGCAGGATCAAAAGTATACGTACCAGCCCCTGGCCCAAAATCAGCAGCTTCAAGTTCAACTGAAAAGAGCAGCTGCCCCACATAGACAAGCCAAATGCCTTCTGAAGCAACGTTTTATGATCAGAAGGGACAAAAACTGAGCTATTCGGCCAGTTACAAGAGGTGTATTTGTAGGAATAAAGCTGAGGCTTTCACAACAAAGAAGATTATAGCATCTGTTCATGCTCAAGGGTGTTTTGTGCCCAGTAGTGTGTATGGATGCACAAATAATGAAGAAGGAAAACTACCTCTAAATTCTGAAACTTTACATCAAATTAACAGCTAGATAAACTTGACCTGATAAAACCTGGACACATTAAGGTGTTCCAGCAGGACACAAACACACATCCAAACTGGTTTTGGAATGGAAATAGCAAGCTTGTGAAATGACCATCAAAAAGTCCTAACATCACCCCTATTTAAAAAGTATTGATGTTCATGGGCATGATGAGTGCATGTAAACGTCTGCCCACAACTGTATTTTTGAAGGCATGAAGGCCTGTGAGCCCTCCAGACTCTCACTGGATTCAAAGTGTATCTGCCATTGTGTCTCGTACATGTAGTTGCGGACAGAGTCAGGCAGGATGACCACACAGCGCTGCCCCTCCTCCAGCTGCTCAGCCATCTTCACAGCTGCTGCCATCGCTGAGCCAGAGCTTCCACCTTCAGCAAAACAGGCAAATCGATCATTTAGAGCGAACTGAGGTTGCTCATAACATACCACAACTCACTGATATGAACTTACCGCACAAAAGACCCTCCTCTCTGATCAGTTTGCGGGACATAAGGAACGTTTCTGTGTCGGTTGATTTGTACCAAACATCCACAATCTGTGCAGATTCAACAGAGACGGGCGTTTAGCAAAAATACTCACTTTCCAAATGTGCACGTTAACAAAAATACTCACAGATCTGTCCAGTACTGTGGGGATGAAGTCAAGGCCGATTCCCTCCACTTCAAATGGAAACTTTTTATTCTTCCCTTCTGAGCCTTCCAGAACAGAGCCTTCAGGATCCACACCGACTACCTAAAAACAGACATGAGGAATTGGGTAAGAGGCTGCAAACACTGCAGGGTTAAACAGTTATCAAGTAATGTTTGATGGAGCTGCCAATACATGCATTGCTTCACTGATGGATATGCATCAGTGTGAGTCAGAAATAATAATAATAAGAATACAGTAAATAAAAACCATTCATTAAAGACTGTGGACTGATAGGTTGTGTGGTGCTCACTTTGACATTTGGACATCTTTCCTTTAACTTTCGAGCAACACCAGTGAGCGTGCCGCCTGTGCTGACTCCAGCCACCAACATGTCCAACTGACCTAAAACAAAAACACATTTTCTTTTTCAAGCTGTAAAAAAGTTTTTTTTTAATAATAATATAATTTCACATTCATGCCTAATAAGCTAATATGAACGATTAGAGGAATTTTCAAGGTTTAACAAAAAGAACCAGCAATATGCCTTCATTTATTCATGCAGTTTGATATACAGCTCAGTGTTTCAGGCATGTTTCTTGTATGATTAAAAGTAATTTAATACATTTGTGCAAATAATGTGGAATCTGTCCATAGGTTTACTGTTCGTCTCCTCCCAACCGTTGACATTTTGTCATGTTTTCATGAGAAACAGCGGGAACGGGAGTTACATGTACTGTTTCACACGCCTCCATGGGCAGGCCAAGTCTAACCTCAGTGCACAAAAAGATTACTTCTGATTGGATCACTTCCAAACTCGTCCCACCTCATGTCTCCAGAAATTCTCATTATACTTTGTTTTTTGTTGATGAAAGTGTCAAAACAAAATTTTGACACTTTTTTTGTGCGTTCGTTTTTATTTGGTTATTGTCTTTTCTCGTTCTTGTTTTCATCAGGAAAAAAAAAATGGATGTTGAGAACAAAATTAACGCTGCTCCTCAGAGCCAGGCTCAGACTTTCTACTTCAATGAGTGAAGGGAGAGAAAGAAAAGACTTAGTGGCAGAGCCATGGTTTTCTTTTCATTACCCTCAAAATCAGTTGTTGAATTAAACATGTACAGCAAAAATTAGACTCAAGCTAGAAGATACATCAAAAATCAGAGTTTCTATCAGCTCGAACCATCACACTGCTCCAGTATCTCCTCAGCCGTGGTGTCGTAGTGAGCCAGGGGGTTGCTTGCATTGCCATACTGGTTGAGGATGTGCGAGTTGGGGATCTCGTTCTTCAGACGCCAGGCCGTACATATATGAGACTCTGGTGAATCAAAAGCTGCAGCTGTGGGTGTGCGGACAATTTCTGCCCCGAGAGCTCTCAGGACATGCACCTAGGACACAGGAGAGGATGAAACTTCAATACATTCCTCCCACTGAAAAGAAGAAGAAGAAGAAACAGAGCTACTTACCTTCTCCATGCTCATCTTCTCAGGCATCACAATGATGCAATGGTAGCCTTTTACTGCAGCTATGAGGGCGAGGCCAATACCTGCACAAAGAGCAAGATTTATTTAAATGACCTTTTTCCTTCATCATGGAGCTACAATACTGCACTTCAGTTCGGTTTATGTTCAACTGTATCAAACACTGAGCCTTCAACCCATTTGTTCATTCACACTGATGTACCCGTGTTTCCAGAGGTGGGCTCGATAATGGTGTCTCCTGGTTTAAGGACCCCGGCTCTCTCGGCGTCCTCCACCATGCGCAGGGCGATCCTGTCTTTCACACTGCCTCCTGGATTGAAGAACTCACACTTGGCCACTAAACACAGTCACCCGTTAAAAAGAATACTGTCATACTACACAGATAATGTGTAAAAACTGAAATTAAACTATCAGAAATGAATAAATAAACAGATAAAAGAAACGTATGAACAAGAGGAGCCTGTAGAGAATTTATACTGCTCATCTTGGCAAAGCTAAATGTGTTTGGCACATTGCGTTCGGATAGGTTTGAAAAGATCAAAGAACCTGGATCTTGAGATGGGCCGCCAGTATGAAATAATGAAGAATAAGGCGGGAAAACCTTAACAGTTTTCAGCTTTCCAGCTCAGTTTAATTTACAGGTGTTTTTGTTCTTTCATCCAACAGAGAAAGAAAGTCTTTCAGTCTCACCTCTCCATCCAGGGAACGAGCTGCCTCCTCATACAAAACAACAACAGTCTCACAGTAGGAAACATGATACTTCAACGCTCCCTTCTCAGCTATTTTGCTTGTTCTACGGCTGTGCCACAGTCATTCAAGGCCCTGCTGTTTACTTCTCCCATTTAAACAAGCGAAGTTTCGTGCAGATTCATTCACATAATGAATCTGCATGAAATGCATAATAATCATTCTAATGTTTATTTGGAAGATTTTGCAGAAACTGAAAGTAAAAATAGTCAAAGTGATTGTGTGCAGAGAAGCTTATGGATTCTGCTTGTACTGATATCCAGGCATGTGTGGGTGTGTCACATTTTACATTCATACTCACAGATATCACACTTGAGCCCAAACTCTTTTGGGATTTTGTTCAAGCGAACCAGAGGTGTGTGTCCAATTTTCTCAAGGATGCTGGAGAGGATGCCAGAGGGCTTGGTGCTGTAATGTACGAGATAACACACAATTAACAGTCATTACCATCTTGGAGATACCATACACGATGTCATGTTCATTACATCTCGTGAGAGTTTAATTACAAAATACCAGAAATATCAGAAGTATCACTTCAACATACTCTAACTGGCCAGTTTGTTAGGTACACATTTTTATCATTGGGTTTAACGCCCTTTTTTCTTTCAGAAATGCCTTAATTCTTTATGGCATCAAATGGGTGACATGACCCATTTGATGCTGCAGACCAGGTGCCTGACGTTCCACCAAATCCCAAAGATGCTCTACTGGATTGAGATCTGGTGACTGGAGGCCATTTGAGTGGAGTGGACTCATCGTCATGTTCAAGAAACCAGTTTGAGTTGATTTGCGCGTTGCAGCACGGTGTCCTATCCTGCTAGAAGCAGGCATCAGAACATGGGTACACTGTGGTCATAAAGTGATGGACATGGTCAGTAACAGTACTCAGGGAGGCTGTGGGGTTTAAATGATGCTCAGTTTATACTAAGGAACCCAAAGTGAGCCAAGAAGATACCCCCCAAATTATTATACCACCAGCAGTCTGAACCACTGACACAAGGCAGGATGGATCCATGCTTTTATGTTGATTATGCCAAATTCAGATCAGGTGAAGTTTTTCCAACCTTCTATTGTCCAGTTGTCCCTGTGAACTGTAGCTTCAGTTCTGGTTTTTAGCTGACAGGAGAGGCATCCAGTGTGGCCTGCTGCTGTAGCCCATCTGTTTTAGGTTTGATATGTTGTGCATTCAGCGATGCTCCTCTGGATAACTTAGTTGTAACAAGTCTTTTCCCTCTAACTTCTGTCATCAACAAGGCATTTCCCCCCAGAGAACTGGACATTTTTGTCTTTGTTTGACCGTTTTCAGTAAAGCACAGAGATGGTTGTGTGAGAAAATCTGAGTAGATCAGCAGTTTCTGATAGTTCTGAGTCAATTAAGTCACCGTTCTTCATTCTGGTGCTCAGTTTGAACTTCAGCAGGTCATCTTGATCATCTTGATCATCTCTACATGCATTGAGTTGTTGCTGTGTGATTGACTGTTTATATGTTTGCCCATGAGTGTATGTGTGACATCTGTTTGTGAATCAACATTCTTTTACAGCTGTAATGGAGTTTCATTATTTAAAGACTGAGCTTAAGCTCAGAGCATTCTCTCCTCTACACAGCGACCTCTTTATTTCTCCAGACTCTTACCGTGCTGAGTGGCTATGAGGCGACTCTGACATGGGTGCAGCCAGCTTCCAAGTACACCTCCTGGGCAAATCAGGACGGATCCACTTCGTCTCATCAGGAGTCTCGTCTGTGTTCTCCAGCTGAGTCTCAGTGAATGATTCATCCTTATCTTCACCATCAGCAGGTAACCTGTCACCACTGTTCACAGCTGCTGTAGCCTGACACACACTTGAAGATGCTTTAGCACAAGTGACTTCTGCATTTGTTGGGTTAGCTGCAGATGTGCAAGGAGAAGGAACTTCTTCCAAGGATTTTGTACCAAAATCAGTGGGCATGGTTCATCTGCAGCAAGATGGGACACATATTACACCACATTTACATCAAGCTTTCAAAAGTTACTGACAAATTGGCAAGACCTTTTGTTTTAGTGGCCACTTAATTTGACTCATTCATCAATGACTGCATGTTAACCTATCCCAGCTGTCTTAGGGGGAGAGGCAGGGTACACGCACAGGTCGCCAGCCTGTCGCAGGGCTAAGTCATAGACACAGACAAGCATTCACACTCACATTCACATATGCAGGCAACTTAGAGTTTCCAGTTAATCCCTACTAATTGCATGTCTCTGGAATTTGGGAGGAAGCTGGAGTACCTGGAGAGAACCCACACAAACACAGTGAGAACATGCAAACTCCACACAGAAAGACCCAGGCCTGATGGTGGAATTGAACTCAATAAATAAGCTACACATTATTTTATCTAACCTTAAATTAATTTAAAGCCAATTTGCATGACACAGTTTGATTGATGTCCTCCAGACATAATTTTAAGAATATGTTGCTCCTTCTGTGTCCACCCACACATTTCTTTGGCTGCCACTGGCCGACACAGGTCGCTGGTCCATTACGTGGCCAACACAGAGAAAAAGACAACCGCACACTATCACACCCCCACCTACAATTTAGAAGCATCAATTATCCTAGCAAGCACGTCTAATCAGTGGAAGGAAACCCACACAGACACAGTCTGGCCACACAAACTTCACACAGACAGGCCCCAGCCAGACCGCAGTAGTAGTATGATCCTTTATTCTGTGCTGTTTTTCAGCTTTCTGGTTGTGGGGTTACGCTTACTTTCCTTGTGCTTGATATGATCCTGTGTTCTGTGCCTTTTGTCTCCTACTTGCCTGAGTTGCTAGGTTTGTTTATTTCATTTTTCCTCTGTTCCTTCTCTCTTTGTGTGTCTGTTCCCTCATTACCCTCTGTGTGTATATATATATTATCCCTGCCCTTTGTCTCTCTTGCATCGTAGCCTTGTTCCTGAGTCCTACGTTTAGGACCTTAGTCCTGCCTGACACACAGCCTAAAGAAGAAATACATATTCCGACTCCAGTTTCAAAAGACTTCCAAGAACACCCAGCCCGCATAATAATAAAACCATTAATATATACAGTCACAATGTTACAGTCATCTGTGGCTATAGGGACCCAACATTTCTGCTTAATCTTCAGAATAAATATAATGACAATTTCATTCACTTTGTAAACCATGGAATATGATTACATACTTTATTTTGTGAATTAAATCATATACTGCACTACTGAAAACACTGAACACTTAAAAAAACAACAACAACATAAAAGTACTAAAAGTACACAGCACAGATGTACTTCTGCATTTTAAGGGTGACCCAGGTGAGGAAACCACACCCAACTCTCGCTGGCTGATACAGTTAGCTAAATCGGCTTAGCTAAAAACTTACCAAAACATTTACTCACCAAGACCATGAGAAAGTAGTTGGACATTATCAAGCTGGCACCACAATCACTTTTACTTTCATTCCTAAACAAGAAGAAGAAGAAACAACAAGCTTTTTTTGTCCCACTCCTGTGTTGTTGCATTCAGGTCCAACCGGAGTGGGCGGGACTTGTTTCCTCCCTCCAATAGAATTTCAGTATATGCCCTAGGGGAATCCAAACTTCAGTAATACACAAATTAACCTAAGAGCTGGAGTTCTAAATCAGAATGTAAAATAAGACACACAGAGAGTTGCTGCTAGTGGGCTACATTGTAATAACATTGTAACAAGTGAACTCTGCTTTCTGCTGATAGCACACAGGTGAGTCCTAGTTTCAGCATAACCGCAGCCTGGAGATAAAAACAGGAATCAACATGTTTCTCTAACTGTGTACTGAAATGCTGAATTCCTACTAACTGCAGTTAAAGGAGTGGTGTGCAATAACATTCACAGAAAGGCATGGAGTGACGCCCACCTCCATACACATGAACGAATATATCTTCCTCCGCTGTTTAGAAATTCAAGATAAATTGAATCAGATTAAAACATACCATTTGCACTCCCTCTCTGCAGAAAGACACAAGCCACTCACCTGTGTGCTGGTATTGTGTCAAAAACTGATTTCCAATATTTGCCATAAAAATGATTGTTGGAATTTAAACAGTTATAAATGATTGCTGGCATCTAAGATATGCCAAACATATAATATCAAGTCATTTTGACTCAACAATAAAAAAAATTTGTGTATTCACTGTTATATTTCCTTTTAATTTTAATGTCTCACCAACATTAAAAATGTTTTTATTCAAGAGTGATCCGGCCATGAGGGCAGCTGAAATAAAATAAAAAAATCCAATTTCTGTGAACACGCTGAGAGACCAAAAAGAACTAGATTGATTATACTGCAGTTGCAATAAGGCAGAGTCATAAAATGTTTGCAAAACAGGTTATTTCTTTATTTTCTATATAACCACATAATAAACCCCGTTCACTACAGTCTAATTACAATGTAAGTAAATATTAGACATAAAAAGCACACGAGAACAGCAGAAATCATTGTTTGGCTTTTTTGGCACAACACCAACAACATCTGATATCTCCTATTGGTGCCGTTTCTGCATCATCATCATAATGTTGGTCCATGATCAACATTGTAACTGACCAATAACATTGTCATGATGTTATATGCTTTGCATTGTGAGGGACACAGAAGAAACAAAATATGCCTCTGTTTATATCATACTTCTGGACATAATTGTATCTATATTCATTTATACAACATAATAAACTATTTTATCAACGTAGGTTTCTCTTAGTCAAATTTAGGTTATGTTGGTTTGCTAGTTTTTAAATGTATAAACTAACTTCTTGGCTAATGCTAAGTGACTTACACGGAGCAAATAAAGCAAATTGATAAAAACATGTACAAAAAAAGAAAAAACACTAAACACAAAGGCACCACACTTAAAAAAGACATTATGTGTGGCAGGAAAAAAATGCAAAGAATAGAAATATTTTTACTGTATTGTAAGAGAAAAGAGTGATAAAGTTTCAGAAAGATGATGGTAACGTCCCTCCAAAAAAAAACTAAGCTGCCCTTTAACTGGAGATTTTTCACTCATTACAAGATGCACAGTGTTTAAAAAAAGAACAAAGATAGCTCTGAATAGTGCTTTACAACTTCTCTGTCCTCTCTGGAGCTCTATTATTATTATCATCATCATTATTATTATGATTATTTCAGTGACACTACAGGTGATCGTTTGCTGTCTCTCAATGAACAGGAAGTAAAATCCACGTTAAACAGGACACAGTCACTGGGTTACACTGCCTGACTTTGATGGTTGCAGTCCTGCCCCTCGTGTGTGGTGATGTAGGAGAGAAGGTCAATCGCTGTCACGACAGCAAATAAAATCTCCCTCTGGAGGGCCGACCCATCGACCCCGTCTGCACAGAGACACAAAACTCCTGTTAAACACAGAAGACTGTTGTGGTTTGTTTACTGCACAGGCTCATGAACAAAGTTTCCCATGTCGTCCACAAATACAGGTTTTAGCTCAATGATGGAAAGAAAGAGCCATATGTGAACATGATCCAGGAGAATGCAAATGTGTGATTGTAAATCAGTGTCTTTGGGTGTCACAACCAAAATGAAGCTTTGTGAATGACATTTATCAACCATGCAATAAACAGCTCATTATAATAATGATCTGCACATAAATGTTCTGTATAAACACTATTTAGGAAATGGATTTTCTCACATTGCGTTTGATTGTGAACCACCAGGGCAAAGTTATCAGTTTTGAGGATATGGGAAAGCTTCCCCAGGTCGTCTGTCAGGTGCACCTGAAAGCACAAGTGGAGGAAGATTAAACAAGCGTGTAAAAACGTTCATTATGTCATCAAAGGTCGCCATGAAGAGCTCTGCACTCTCTGACTGACCTGTTTGAAGGCTTTGAGGAGCACCGCGCTAACAGCCGCTGAAAGTTCAACCTTCCCCGCCAACAGAGAGGACAGAATGGTTTCCAGAGTCACCATTCCCAGGATGGCCCTGTGGAAATACACAAAACCCACAAACTCCCATCAGACTCAGGTGACGAGAAGACTAACCCATCATGTCTCTGCCTGCTTATTTCAACCAAATGTCAAGATTAAAAAATGGGTAACCAAACTGGACGATTAATCAATGTAGTTTTTAACTAGAGTTTATCTTGAGACGAGATCCAACTTATATGGTTACACACTCAAATAAAGCTACCTCACATGGGGATTTACACTGGAGGGACAGGGTTGTAATGTATGTGTATATACCCACCAGACGTCCAGCTGCCCACACACATCTTTAAACTACATCCCTGCAAAGTTTAACATCTCTGACTACAAGTGAGGTGGCAACACTGCTGGAAGTGTTAATAAAAACATAAATAATCACTGAAGTTTTAAAAGCTGTGGGAAATACAAGCTTCACATGTTCATATTATTTATGTTTAAAAATATTTCAGTTGGGTAGTTATATAAAGATGAAAATAAGACAAAAAGATCAGACAAGACAAAGGTCACAGACAAAGTGTTAGAATCTCTTCCTGACACTGTGATGTCATCCCGAAATTCAATTTCCACCATCAACTCGAGAACAGAGCCACGTTTCAGTGTGAAATCCTGAGATCAAACTACGACCTGTGGAACATCTGCCGAGCATTTAGCTGCTCTGCACGAGCAAAGATGACGATACAGAGGATGAGATCTGTTTCCCTGAAATCTCCATGGAGACCACTGTTTGTGTTTATGCTGGAAGTTCCTGTCCTCTTCCTGTTTATACAAGGTCATATCCAAACAGAGCATTTATAATACTAACCTGATGTAGAGAAGAATAGACATACCCTGACTCAGTGACGACTGGTGCCTGATCCAGTGAGTTCTCCTTTAGGATCTCAATGGTTTTCTGGCAGGACACAGAATGTGTGACAGTGAGGGGGGCAGACAGGTGTAAACTCTGAACAGTCCGGTTCCACCACCTGCAAGACGGAAAAACAGAGGTTTTAACACCAACCTGCTCCGTCATACCTCCTCTGAGGGGTATAAGCTATAGCTGATTTGCGGATTTTTGTTGTTTTTTACCAGGGTTTTGGGTCCATCTGAGCGTCCAAGCAGAGGAAGCCTTTCTCACACATCCACTGATCGCTCAGGAACTTTGACCTGCAGGTAGATACGGGTGAGTTTGAAGAAGTGTGCTAAAGTTCAGCCAAGGTTCCACCTAAAACACATCTGACTCTAGACAATCTGTTATTTATCAGCTGCATCACTGCTTTACGTCAGTTTTTCTTTTTTTAATGCTGACAGCTTTATTGTGGGATTTATTGGTTAGGGATAGGACATGGCTGTAAAAATAAAAGAAAGAAAGAAAGCATCCTAGTTGAAACACATGTGTCTCTTCCTCTCTCATTTCCTGTCACTGCTGTTCTGTCCTTAATAATTGGAAAAACATCCACACAAAGGGTTTCAGTGCTTTTATGTTAAATTCTTGTCTAGCTAATGGCTGGTGGGAGCCACATGGTTACTGCTTTTAGCGAGACATAGCTCAGAGGAGGAGAGTCCAACTCTTTGAAACCATGAAGATCTCTAAACTGTTCAGTGGACTGATTCATTTCTACACACATTTACACATTTTTGAGGACAGAGCTAAAAACTGTTGGATGGTCTGTGGTTAAATTTGGTACATATGTTCATCCGCTGGCTTTTAAAGATTTCATTAAAATGTTCTTTTTAAATGGGGAAAGATTATAAAGCATGCATCTTTAATCATCTAAAAAAAAACAAGAATGGAAGCAGAAATTTTAATACATTTTCTCTCTAATCCACGCAGGATCAAAAGTATACGTACCAGCCCCTGGCCCAAAATCAGCAGCTTCAAGTTCAACTGAAAAGAGCAGCTGCCCCACATAGACAAGCCAAATGCCTTCTGAAGCAACGTTTTATGATCAGAAGGGACAAAAACTGAGCTATTCGGCCAGTTACAAGAGGTGTATTTGTAGGAATAAAGGCTTTCACAACAAAGAAGATTATAGCATCTGTTCATGCTCAAGGGTGTTTTGTGCCCAGTAGTGTGTATGGATGCACAAATAATGAAGAAGGAAAACTACCTCTAAATTCTGAAACTTTACATCAAATTAACAGCTAGATAAACTTGACCTGATAAAACCTGGACACATTAAGGTGTTCCAGCAGGACACAAACACACATCCAAACTGGTTTTGGAATGGAAATAGCAAGCTTGTGAAATGACCATTGAAAAGTCCTAACATCACCCCTATTTAAAAAGTATTGATGTTCATGGGCATGATGAGTGCATGTAAACGTCTGCCCACAACTGTATTTTTGAAGGCATGAAGGCCTGTGAGCCCTCCAGACTCTCACTGGATTCAAAGTGTATCTGCCATTGTGTCTCGTACATGTAGTTGCGGACAGAGTCAGGCAGGATGACCACACAGCGCTGCCCCTCCTCCAGCTGCTGAGCCATCTTCACAGCTGCTGCCATCGCTGAGCCAGAGCTGCCACCTTCAGCAAAACAGGCAAATCGATCATTTAGAGCGAACTGAGGTTGCTCATAACATACCACAACTCACTGATATGAACTTACCGCACAAAAGACCCTCCTCTCTGATCAGTTTGCGGGACATAAGGAACGTTTCTGTGTCGGTTGATTTGTACCAAACATCCACAATCTGTGCAGATTCAACAGAGACGGGCGTTTAGCAAAAATACTCACTTTCCAAATGTGCATGTTAACAACTATACTCACAGATCTGTCCAGTACTGTGGGGATGAAGTCATATCCAATACCTTCCACTTCAAATGGAACCTTTTCACTTTTCTCCTCTGAGCCAACCAGAACAGAGCCTTCAGGATCCACACCGACTATCTAAAAAACAGAGATGAGAACTGAGGTAAGAGGCTGCAAACGGTGCAGCATTGGAGCTGCCAATATACGGATTGCTTTACTGATTAATATAAATCTCAGCAAAACAAAACTTTTATTTCAGATTTTAGATAAGTGGGTTGAGAGTCTCACTTTGACATTTGGACATCTTTCCTTTAACTTTCGAGCAACACCAGTGAGCGTGCCGCCCGTGCCGGCTCCGGCCACCAACATGTCCAATTTACCTAAAAACAGAAACACATTTTCTTTTCCAAACTACAAAAAACATATATTTTTGGGATTCAAATAAACACCTGTTCCATGGGGATTCGCAGTTACAGGAAAAACTATTTACGCCTTCCTTCATTCATGTCAGTTTGACGTATTGATCTAAGTTTCAGGAAATATAAAACACACACCGTAAAACTGTAGGCAAATCATCACTTGTTCCAACTAAGGTCTGCAAAAGATCATCTCTGTTTGCACAAGACAAATCTTGTGCTACAGCAGCAGAAGACCACACTGGGTGTTACTGACAGGAGTGAATGGGAAACTTCTGCTGCCACATTCGAAGGGTAAGGTCAAAATTTGGCATAAAAGATAAGATCATCTTGTGTTAATGGTTCAAGGTGGTGGTAGTTTAATGGTGTGGGGGGTCATTTCTTGAAAAAATTCAACTTCAAGCTAGAAGATGCATCAAAAATCAGAGTTTCTATCAGCTCGAACCATCACACTGCTCCAGTATCTCCTCAGCCGTGGTGTCGTAGTGAGCCAGGGGGTTGCTTGCATTGCGATACTGGTTGAGGATGTGCGAGTTGGGGATCTCGTTCTTCAGACGCCAGGCCGTACGTATATGAGACTCTGGTGAATCAAAAGCTGCAGCTGTGGGTGTGCGGACAATTTCTGCCCCAAGAGCTTGCAGGACATGCACCTAGGACACAGGAGAGGATGAGACTTCAATAGATTCCTCCCACTGAAAAGAAGAAACAGAGCTACTTACCTTCTCCATGCTCATCTTCTCAGGCATCACAATGATGCAATGGTAGCCTTTTACTGCAGCTATGAGGGCGAGGCCAATACCTGCACAAAGAGCAAGATTTATTTAAATGACCTTTTTCCTTCATTATATAGTTATAATACAGCCGTCAGCTCATTCGCTCAAACTGATGTACCCGTGTTTCCAGAGGTGGGCTCGATGATGGTGTCTCCTGGTTTAAGGACCCCGGCTCTCTCGGCGTCCTCCACCATGCGCAGGGCGATCCTGTCTTTCACACTGCCTCCTGCATTGAAGAACTCACACTTGGCCACTAAACACAGTCACCCATTAAAAACAAAAAAAGATATATTGCATCAGGGAGTGTTCAAAGTTAATCCAAAAGGTTTGCATTAGATAATGCGTGACAAATTTAATATGCATTGTAAATAACTAGGACTGAACCAGTGCAGAGAGAAGAATAATAGTTAATCTATTAACCTTTACCAGGTCACTGACGACCCATCTATGGTTGGTAATTTGAGAGGAAACATCTTAAAGCTTTTGAAATAAAACCTCTATATAAAACTCTAAACTTAGATGACTCCCCAATCACCCGCTAAAAGGTTAACAAGTATGAAAAGCATGCTTCTGTCATCTGTAACTAGATTCTGGTTCCCACAAGAATCTAGTTTTTACTTTGCTTTTATTTGTCCTGCTGAAAGTGCGTGTCTACGCCAGTCCACGTCTTTTATTTTCACAGAGAACAGTTCATGTCAGATCTCCCTCTGTAATCCTGACTGACTGTGTTTGAAGGAATTAGGAAATTCAATTTGTGGAGTGTGAGATCTGGATCTGCTCTTTTGCAAACTCATAGCAACACAGGGATAATGACATGCCTGCCAGCTACTGCATCAGCAACAACATGTTGTTAAGGTACCGGAACAAATATAAACTCTATTATTTCTCAAGTTTAGAGCTGCATTTTATTTGCAAAGGTTTTCTTTTTACTCTGTTGGATGACAGAACAAAGAGTCTTTCAGTCTCACCTCTCCATCCAGGAGAGCGAGCTGCCCCCTCATACAAGAAAATAACAGTTGCACAGTGAAAAAACATAAGGCCACCAGCTACATGATACTTCAACGCTCCCTTTTTAACAGCTGAGCAGGAAGCCAAGAGGGACACAGTGGGTTCAACAGCCCTAGCTTAAACAACGGCACCTCTTCCACTCGGATGCATCAACTTAACAACATATCCCCTAAAAGACATTCTTTTACACAAATATGGTAAGCCAGGTGAGATGTCACTCTGTAATCTGCTGCTGCTCAACTACAGTCTCATCCAAGCAGAGGTTTTTTTCACCCCACTAAACACAGTAAACTTATCAGCTTTCTCGCTGCTTAGGAGGGAGAACAATAAAGCTGCTGTTAGGACATTTAAAGCATCTTCTATCCTGAAAATAAGAAGACTGCACTCCTGCTCATTTTCTTGCAAGGACATATCAACGTCATTTTGGGGTGAGCGAAGGGGACTATTCAGAGAGAAAACTTAACATTTCACATCCATAAATATCCATAAACCCATATCTTTTGGATTAAAGTTGTAGCTTTGCAGTACAAGTACATGGATAGCAGTCAGGTTAAGGATCATGTTATTTATTTATTAAGGTTAATGTCATGTTTTATATTCTAAAAGGTTAATTCTGTTTAAATCTGTTTTGTATAGTACTAAAACTTAAAGCATGAAAAATGTGAACCTTTCTCTAAGTTTCCTTTTCCTTTCTTTTTTACTTATTTATTTAATTAGCTTACCCTGTTGTGTAATATTCAAGCCTCTGCTTTTACAAGCAAACTTTCAATTAGACTTATTTGCTTGAATGCAGAATAATAATAAAGATTTTGCAAAACCGTAAGCAAAAATAAGTCTTTTTTTTAAATCATCTTCTTACTTTTACATAATTTGTCACATCTTTTACTCACAGATATCACACTTGAGCCCAAACTCTTTGGGGATTTTGTTCAAGCGAACCAGAGGTGTGTGTCCAATTTTCTCAAGGATGCTGGGGAGGATGCCAGAGGGCTTGGTGCTGCAATGTAAGAGATAACACACACTAGGAGATACCATACAGGATTTCATGTATCTGATGAGAGTTTAACCAAAATTAGTGGAATTGTCAGAAATATCATCACATCATACACTCACTGGGCAATTTGTTAGGTACACCTTGCAAGCACTGGGTTGGTTTTCAAAACTGGCTTGAAAACCAACCCGGGAAACATTCCTCAGAGATTTTGACCCAACATGATACTATCACACAATTCAATCACCTCACAAAGATTTTCTTTTGGATTGAGATGTGGTGACCTGTGAGCTGAGATCATCTGAGCTTTACAAACACTAAAGAGGGAAAAGTGTAAAAAAAAAACAAACCCCTGTACACTAATCCACCAACACAAAGTGCCAGAACCACTGATACATGTGATACATGGCAAGATGGAGCCATGTTTTCATGTTGTTTACATCAAATTCTAACCCTGCCGTCTGAATGTGGTGGAAAAACATCACCATTTTCCCTCATTCTGATGCTTTGTTTGATCTTAAGCAGGTCATCTAGATCGTGTTTACATGCACTGAGTTGCTGCCATGTGACTGGCGGTTTACATATTTGCATTAACCAGCAGTTGAACAAGTGTACCTAATAAAGTGACACATCAGTGTATGTGTGACATCTGTTTGTCAAATCAGAATTAAATATTGCTGGTGACTCAACTCTGCTGCAAAAAGTGAAGTAGACAGAGTCACTAGTTTTATTTAAAGACACAGCGACCTCTTTATTTCTCCAGACTCTTACCATGCTGAGTGGCTATGAGGCGACTCTGACATGGGCGCAGCCAGCTTCCAAGTACATCTGCTGGGCAAATCAGGACGGATCCACTTCGTCTCATCAGGAGTCTCGTCTGTGTTCTCCAGCTGAGTCTCAGTGAATGATTCATCCTTATCTTCACCATCAGCAGATAACCTGTCACAACTGTTCACAGCTGCTGTAGCACAAGTGACTTCTGCATTTGTTGGGTTAGCTGCAGATGTGCAAGGAGAAGGAACTTCTTCGAAGGATGCAGCACCAGAAACAGAGGGCATGGCTGCAGTGGGATGAGACATATATTATCATCAAGCTGTATTTTTTTATTTTATCTAACCATGCATTAATTCAAAGACAACTAGCATTAAACAGTTGGGTTGATATCCTCCAATTATAATTTTAAGAATTTGTTGCTTCTTCTGTCTCTGTCTCCACATTCCATTTATCCAACTTTGTCTTTGGACAGTGGGAGAAAACCCACACTGGCCACCTACACGTCACACAGACAGGCCCAAGCAAGCAAGCAGGCTTGAACCTAAGCTGTGTTGCTGTCAGGCAGCAGCACTGACCCCCACAAAATATGTAAGATCAGATCTTACATAATTTTCTAGTGTTTAATCAGTTTTTATATTTTTTGCTCATTTATATCACAGCGCCACAGTCAGTGTTGGGGAGTAGAGGAATACATGTACCGCCGTTATGTATTTAAAATACAAAATATGAGTAACTGTATTCCGTTACAGTTACCATTTAAAAAGGTGATATTTAGAATATAGTTACTTTGTTGAAATAAATGGATTACACGGCGGTATTTTCCTGATTCATATTGTCACGGGTCAGGACTGTTTGGGTTTTGTTTGACTGTGTGTTTCCTGGGTGAGAGAGCACCTTGTTGTTGTTGTTGTTGTGCTAAGCTACAGAATGCTACAGGCATAGCCCTAAAGAATGTAGCCTCATGGGCAGTGTAGTCCGTGCTGCAGGGAGAATGGACTGCCATACCCGTTATGTGTCTGTGAGCGCGAGGAGGGAGAAAAAGGAAGTAGAAAAGTACAAGCTGTCATCGAGTAGAAACGGGAGCTGGAAGCATGTAAATATAATAATAACCACTGCAGCCAAGAAGAGTGCCTGAGGAGCCCAGTTGTAAGTAAGCTATTAAGACTCAATTGTACACTGTGTTCCTGTTTTCCTCCGAAACAATAAGTTCCGTTGGAGCAGCCTTTCAACCCTCTCTGTCTCTCGCTAGCAAAGTTGACTCACACGACAAAGTAAAGCTAGTTTTCAGCTATGAGCCCGACACAGAACCCGCCGTATTAGCCAGAGGTCCCTTTACTACGGTTCGGAGCCGCGGACCTTCAGTAATAGTAATAAATCACACAGCAATAGTACATTCATGCAGTTGTAAAAAACATGATAATATATTAAGTAATCCAAAGTATTCAGAATACATTACTCTCATTGAGTAACGTAACG